TCCAACCGAGACCCATCAAGAACAACAATTTTTGAGATTTATAGTTTTTCTCTCCTGAGCTGCTTTACATAAGCACTGGCGCAATACCTACTGTTCTTTTTCAAAATAAATTCTTAAGAGACATTGGTACGAATTTATCTCTCTGATATTAAATAATTTTGTTTCTTGATAAAGTTCTTCAGTTGAAAATAGTCTATTTTTATGAAGTATTATTTTTAGAAGCGTATTTTGTGTAAATTTTGAAATGTTGTGGTAAAAGTACGTCCCCAGCTAGTAATACAATACCCAAGCATAGATTCTATTAGGGAATTATACAACATAATTAAGTTTTTTCTGGATAAGATATCTCTTATAATATAAAATTTGTACATTAGCGCTCTTATTCGTTTGGTGAGATATGTTACGTGTTCATTCCATCTGGTATGTTAGTCAAACATGATTTCTAAGTATTTGATCACTGTGTTTTTTCTAATACAGAACACGAACATTTATATTCATCACACGTAGGTTTATGTAGTTTGAGATTTAATATGGGCTGATCAGTTATTGTAGGAGAAAAAGTTATATATTTTGTTTTTCCTATATTTAAACTGAGTAAGTTATGATTTAACCAAATTTTTATATTTTTTAAACATGTTTCTGTAATAGATTGAACTTCATTCCAAGTTTTCCCAGTAATGATAAGTGCTGTATCATCAGCATAGCAAACTAATTTTCCTTTGACATTTTTTATGTTAAAAATATTATTTACATATATTAGAAATAAAACTGGACCTAATACTGTCCCCTAGGGTACATTTATCTTAATTACTGATTCGGAACTCAATACGTGCCATATTTTAATTGTTTGTCTTCTGTTTCATAGATAATTTTTGAAGAGGTATAATACTATTCCTCGAATACCGTAATTATTCATTTTATCTATAAGTTTACTATGTGAAACAATATCGAAGGCCTTGACTAGATCCAGAAAAATTGCGAGATATTTAGTTGAGCTGTCTAAGGCTCCAATCACGGGTTCTAGCAGGCTCAATATGTCATCTTCGGTACTCCAGTTTTTAATAAAACCGAACTGATTTTTTGAAAGAATGTGATGGTCATCTAAAAATTCAACTAACCTTTTTTTAATGCTTTTTCAAATACTTTTGCTAAATTATTTATAACCGATATAGGTCTATAGTTAGTTTAGTATGTTCTCCTGCCTTACAAATCGGTGTTACTAGACATTATTTCCATTGCAAAGGTATTTTACCGTTTGTGAAACAGAGATTTATAGTATGAACCAAGGGGTGTATAATATGTGAATGTATAGATTTTAGACATTTTGTATCAATTCCATCAGGTCCCGATGAGCAATTATTTTTAAGTTCTGAAATCAGGTTGGTTACTTCCGCTGTTGATACTGGCTTTAAAAAAAGTGAAGACTGTAAGGTATTTTCGTTAAAAAAATTTTTAGGAAGAGTTGTTTCTTCTATATAATTGGCCATTTTAAGTCCTAAATTAGTAAAAAAAATATTAAACAAGTTTGCTTTATCAATGTTACTTTTAACGGCAACACCGTCTTCATTGATTATGTTTGTGTTTGAAATGTGTGAAATAGTTTTACATCCTGATACCTCTTTAATAATATTCCAAATTTTTTTGCAATCTGCAGCTGCATTATTTAATTTACTTTTATAATATTTATTTTTGGTTTTTCTTATCATTGTATTTAGTTGATTTCTATATTCTTTATACTGTTTTTCTAGTTCTATGGTATGATTTTTAATTAGTCTTTTTTTAAATTTGTCTCTTTTATGAATAGAGGTAATCAATGCAGAACTAATCCATGACTTTAATTTTCTATATTTATTGTTTACTGTTTTATTTTCTATGCATTTATCAATATATTTATGCAGTTGATCAATGAAAATGTTGTATGATTGTTGAACTTCATTTTTTTCACATACTTCATCCGAACGCTCATTTTTTAACAAATTATTTTTTGAATTTATTTTTTTTATATATTTTTTTTGTCATTGTCAGTTCTATTAAGGTTGCGTTTAAAGGAAACTTACACAAATGGAGTAAAATGATCAGTAATATCACTTTGAAATACTACAGCATCTATTTCAATTTGACTTCTTAACTTAGTGTGTTGTCTTATGAAAATATGATCTAGGGTTGATTTAGAGGTTAAAGTGACTCTTGTTGGTTTATTAATGTAGGGCCAGTATCCGTGTAAGTTTAATATGTTTAGATACCTAGATGTACCATTACATTCTGTTTTTAGTATATTTATATTGATACCTCCTAGAAATATTTCTATATCTTGTTTTCCGATTTGATTCAAGTAAATATCCAAATCATCTAAAAAGTTTTTCACTTTAACTATTTGTTTTCTGTTATTTAGGTAACTAGCCATCAAATCAAGTGATGCCCCTCGAATTCCTGCATCTCCCAAGGTATCTATCAACTGTTTATAACAAACAGTATCGAATGCCTTTGCGAGATCCAGAAATACACAGGCTGTTGGTTTCCTATCATCAACGAGTTTGTAGATGGTCTTTGTTAATTCGACAATTGCATTATTCGTAGATAAGCCTTCTTGAAAACCATATTGGCATTTAGATATTAATTTTTCCTACGACCACTTAGGAAAGTGGCACATATCACACTATATAGACCTATGGAAAGTGCCCTATATCACACGCGTATGAATAAGAATTTACTTTCCACCCAAGTGAGAATATGCTACTTTCCGCAGTAGCTGTCAGAAAATGTCAAACACATAATTTCTATTTTGATCTATGTAATGTCCATATTAATGCTAAAATCGATGTTAGCTCAGTTGGTTAGAGCATCAACTTTGCAATTTGAGACCGTCCAACGACCGCGATCGAATCCTGGCTGTGCCAGAATTTTTTTTTTATTTTTTTTTATTTTTTTTTTATTTTTTTTTATTTGTTTAGAAATTATGAAAATTTAATAAATACGATTATTGTTGATTATTTTTTTAAATACATTTTAATTATTATAATAATCTGGTTTTACATTTTTTGATGAAATTATTTTGTGGTCGTAGGAAAAATATTGTACATCACTTGTGTGAAAAATGATTTTCCACACTCGTAATGTAATATACTATATATTTATTGTTAAACATATTTTTAAAACTTCTCAAAAGTGTAGTTATTAAAGAGATTGGTCTATAATAGATGATTTCAACGGAAGACATCTTGAAGTTGCAAGGTCATTGGAAGATCTTTGCGCCATCTATAAGTTTAGATAACAACTAATACAATAAAAAAGAAAATTGTAAATTATTATTTTGGCAATCTGTTTAAGGTTACGGCGTCGGTATTAATTTTTTCTTTCTTTGTCTTCTTTATAGTTGTATGTGTATGTGGTCTTAAACCTAAAATAAAACCATTAGATATCAAATTTTATCAGTCGTATACAAGGTTTGTCAAAAATAAAGGTACTTATAATTAGGTCCGTATTTATAAACAGAACTTACCTGAGTCGGACTTGGGTAAGTCGTCCTTGAACTAAAATCGAAGTTCGGTTACAACGTCTCTACAACGTCTCTTCTAGGTGGTTTGGTGTTAAACTGGAATTTAGAGATGGATATTAGCAAATCTGTAGCTGTTATGTACATTTACGGATTTGTTACTACTCATCTCTAAATTCACGCGATATAACCGAACTTCGATTTTAGTTCAAGAACGACTAACCCAAGTCCGACTCAGGTAAGTTCTATTCATAAATACGGACCCTAGATTCCAGAACTTGGCGATAGTGAGAGTGAAAACTGAGCCCATACAACTAAAGAAGAAGGGAGGAAAAAAAGAAGAAATTTATGTTGACGCCGCCGTAACTTTGGACAGATTGCCAAAATAATAATTTACAGTTTTCTTTTTTATTTTATTAGTTGTTATGTAAACTTATAGATGGCACAAAGATATTCCAATGACCTTGCAACTTCAAGATGTCTTCCGTTGAAATCATCTATTGGATTGATTGATTTATTAGGTTAACTAATTGAGGGATAATTCCATTTTTTATATTTTTTACTATTTCGGTTGTTAGATCATCTATTCCTGGTGCCTTTTTACTTTTTAAAGATTCTATAATTATATTTATCTCTGCACTAGTAACCTCAGAGAGATAAAATGATTGTAAAATGGATTTATTTTTCGGTGAAGGTGTTTGGGGTTTATTAATTTTAGTAGCATATGTCTCTCCTACATCAGTGAAATGTTGGACAAATCGATTTGCAATTCTTTTGCTGTCTCTAATAGATAATCCATTTTGAGCAAGCACTTCCTCTGCGGTTTTAATATTTTCTTGTTTCAACCTGTTTGCAATGTTCCAAAGATTTTTAGAATAGTTACTATTTTTTTTGATTTCATTCTTAAAATAATCTTTTCTGCAGATTTTATTATTTTCTTTAACTGGTCTCTGTAGCTAAATAATTCATTTCTTTTTTTCAGGTTATTTGGGTCTTTCAAGTACTCTTTGTGCAGAGTATTTTTTATATTTACGGACTTTACCAAACCTTTTGTAATCCATTTTTGTCTTTTTTGTTTACATTTCTTTATTTTTAACAAAGTAGTATTTTTATTTATAAATAGTTCTAGGGATTCTGTCAAGATATCGCAGAGTTATTTTTTAGTGAAAGTACTATTTAAAAAGCAATTAATTACATCTTTAATGAAAAGTGAGAAAAGAACAGAACCAAGGTGTGTGCCTTATGGAACGCCTGATGAAACTGAAAAAACTTTCCGAGATGTAAAGTTAGGAATTGAAACTTGTAGGAAGCGATTAGTTAGATTCTATCCAGTTTTATTAAAATCTAAACTATTATTGCAGAATTTTAGTGCCAAAGTAGGTACAAGAAGTAGTGTTTTTAGTACGTAGGAAGCTGTGATGGGAATGGACGCATGCCCTTCGTACGAAAGGCGGAAAGGGAGGCGTCTCCACATTATATGCGTCGAGAGCGCCTCTGTTCGTTTACTCTTCAACGGCCGACGGCGACTTCCTCTTGTGTCACGGGGCAGAGCAACGAGTGACAGTTAGTGGGTTTTGCGTCTTTTTCGGCGAGATGAAGTATACTTGGCTGATTCTGGCATCGAGTTTAGTGCTGGTGCTGGCCGAGTTGGTACCGAACTCTAAAGCCGTACCTTATATTGAAGATGGTAAGTCGATTTTTTTTTAATTTATAGAAACCGAATAAAATATGTTTGAACATATTTTAACTAGTTTGAGCGCTACCATGAAAAAATTGTTTTAGTAAAAGGGGGAAAAGTTTGTAACTTTTTGTAAGTTCTTGATTTACACAAAAAAAAACAATATTAGAAAATTATTTATACGAGGTGTTTAAATTAAAGTGTTACAGTTAAATACCACCGAAAATATGCGTTTTATAAAAAAAGTTTCAGACAAAAGTTTTATAGTTTTTTAGGGGAAACATTTTGGCGAAATTAATATTTTTATAGCTGACCATAATATGGCCGTACCGAAGTGGACTTTTTTATTTCAAATTGGAACCTAATTTTTTTATTTTTTACATATTCTTAAAGTTTATAAAAAAATAAGAAACTTTTAAAGGGAACATTTTTTTTAGTTGGACTTTTACTTATTGAGTAATACCTACTTGAAAATTTTGTTGCGCGAAAAAAAGAGTAGGCCATATTATGGTGAGCTATAAAAAAAATTTTAGCCAAAATATTTACCCTAAAAAAATATAAAACTTTCGTCTGAAACGTTTTTTTATAAAAGGCTGTATTTAACTGTAACACCCGGTACATGGTGTACCAATAGTGTGTAAAGGTTCGATATATCGGTTAATATAGTAAATATTAAAAAAAATATTATTTACAAACGTTGTAGATAATGTTAATCTGCACATTCAAAAATTATTTTTGGATATACAGACTGATCCATAACTTCAGAATTGATCAAACATATGTTCTTTTTTAAAGCGATCACACCCTGTATTTGATTCCAAATTTAAATTCTCCTGACTTTGCCCTTTAAAAAATACCGGCATTTATGAGGTTACACTGGGTATTTTAAAAGTTTAAACTTATTTTCTATAAAAATCGTACTAGATTCAACCCTAGGTATATTAGAAAATAAACTATTGACCATCAAACTTTTTTTTATAAATCATTTTAAATGATAGTTTACTATTGTTAAAATATAAAAAAAAATTATACAGCAACAAACGTGTACAAGGTGAGTCAAAACTCATATACATAATTTTCTCAATTTTTTTATAAAAAAATAAAAATTAAAAAACTAAATAAAAAAATTACAAACAAAAATTTAAAAATTGAAGCTACATTAATATATTTGGTAAAATTACAAACAATGCATTAAATTACTAAACTATATATTATTAATTTTATCTTAAAGTCAGCAATGGTTGAAGCTTCTATTATCATATCAGGTAAATGTTTAAATTCATTAAGTCCTTTAAAAAGTAATAATTTTGATATTGTTTTGCCCAAAAATATAAAAATATTTATTTATAAAATAAAAATGACATAAATCCAACGGATCAGATATATTAGAAAAAATTCAATATAATTCACAATATCACAACTATAATACAAGAAGCCAATCTGACCTTCATGTACGGCAAGCCATCACTAAAAGTACCAAAATACAATTTTTATTGAAGGTTTAAAAAATTTAATAAACTGGCTACAGAAATTAACAAAAAAAAACAACAATAAATGTATTTAAAAGTAACCTCAATCAATACTTGATAAATAAACAGAAAGGATATATTTTCTTGTGATAATACTCTTTAAACCTGCCCTTTTTAAGTATTTCCCTTACTTTATTGTTATTTTACCCCTCATTTTACCTCGTCTTACTACTTACTTTGTTTAAATTATTAATAGTTTTGCGACGATAGATTATAGCAACTTATTTTTGTGTTAAAGTAGATCCATAGAGAGCAATGTAATTTACAAAGGCCTTCTTTCAACATACAAATAAATGACAACTTTATAATTAAAATGAAAAGCACCACAAAATACCTCGGTATCATAATTGATCAAAATTTGAAATGGATTAATCACATTACGTCATTAAAATCCCAAGGTAAGAAGATTAATTTTTAAATCTTATTAATTGAGGAAATTTATGACTAGGAGTTTACTAATTATTATTTACAATTCGCTACAAAAAAGCAGCATTATATCCTAACTCTCTTTTATATAATAAAAAAGTGCTTTGTATAACAATAATTAAACTGTGGATTACCTTAGAGTCAATATCTTCAATTAAACATAGAGATTGTTTAAAAAAAAAAAACTAATAAAAAACTTTTGTCCTGAATTTGAAAGTGAGTATAAAAAATATAGAAATAAAATAAACGCATTATTAAAAAAAAAACAAAAAAAGAATACTATCAAAAACAAATGGATGAAGCCGGTAACGACTCAAAAAAAATTTGGAAAGTTATTAATAACATCTCAGGACGTGCAAAAAATACTAATAAAATAGATATAATACCGATCACTAATAAAAATAATGTAATACTAAATGGTAATAAAGAAAAAGCAAACGAGTTTAATAGATTTTTTTCAAACCTCGGAAACGAAATGGCAAATAAAATACCCACAACAAACTTACCTGATAATTTTATCAGTAATGATCAAATCAATTCGAGTATATTTCTACGGCCAATATCAAAAAATGAAGTAACTATTTTTATTTCGAATTTAAAAAATAATTGTGCACCAGGTCCAGATAAATTAGAAGTAAAAACAATAAAAAGCATCCATGAATATATTGTTTCTCCTCTAACACATATTATTAACCTATGTTTTCAGACTGGAAAAATTCCCCATCAATGGAAGCAATCTATTGTTACCCCTATATTTAAATCAGGGGATTCCAGCAGAGTAAATAATTATAGACCTATTTCATTAATAAACAATATAGCAAAAATATTTGAAAAGGCACTGAAGGCGAGGCTAACTGCCTTCTTTCAAACTCACGGCATTATCTCCAGCTATCAACATGGTTTTATAGAAAATTCAAGTACTGAAACTGCAATTATAGATCTTATGAGAAAAGTAGTCGGTGCCCTGGATGAATCATTGGCATGCACTGCTGTATTCCTTGATTTAGCCAAGGCATTTGATACAGTCTCTCATGAAATACTTCTAAACAAACTAGAAGACTATGGAATTCGGGGCGTGGCGCTTAAACTTATATCTGATTACTTATATAATCGTGGTCAAAGAGTAAGGATTGGTTCTGAATTTAGCTGCGAATCAATTATTAAAGTGGGTGTTCCACAGGGAACAGTCTTGGGTCCCTTGTTGTTTCTTGTTTACATGAATAGTATAACAAAAATTATTTATTTTTAAGGTCATCTTGTGTGTTATGCCGATGATACAGCCATAATTTTCACCGGAAAAACGTGGGAAGACGTACATCGCAAAACAGAAGCTACATTAACTAAGGTGACACTATGGTTAAACTATAACAAACTAACATTAAATATTAAAAAAACAAAATTTATTGCTTTCAGCCCGACTGCTACAAATCAGCCAATTAACTTACCGATTAAACTACACAGCCCAAACTGCGAGCTAAACAATTGCATATGTCCCACTATTGAAAAAGTCGCTTCCATAAAATATTTAGGTGTTATACTAGACCAATATATACGTTGGACAGAGCATATCACTCATGTTAGTAATCGAATAAGGGCTCTAATGCATACATTTTATGTACTTCGCGATATTCTCTCTAAGACAAAAATAATCATGACATATTCTTCATTAGTGGAATCTGTTTAGATACTGTATTACGGCATGGGGAGGGGCTTTTAACACTACACTTACTACTCTGCAAGTAACACAAAACACAATTTTGAAAATAATATTAAAAAAAGATAAATTATTCACTACCATACGATTATATAATGAAAACGAAATCCTCAACATTAAATCACTCTTTATCTACCAATGTATCATAAAAGTATATAATAGCCCTGAACTATTTCAATATAAACAAACTCGATTGACTCGCTCTACTACAAATATGGACCTTTCTACTCAACTTTTTAAAAAATCTCTAACCCAAAGATCCTTCTTTTACTTTGGTCCCAAGTTCTACAATCTAATCCCCATACATCTCAATCAAAAAAGTAAACTATCTATATTCAAACTAAATATTAAAAAATATATAATAGATAACCAAATCACATTTACTGCTATAATGTTGTAAGCTATACCTGATTTAAAATTGAAATTTGTTGTTAACTATTTGTATTAAATGTTGGAATAACTTCTGGATAACCCTCGTCTGCTTCGCTCTGCATATGTACTCAATCTAAAAAAATTTTGTATCCTACTTATTTTTATACCTACTTAGTCACTAAAATATAAAATGTACGTTTTATTTCAAATCTTTTAGAATCAGCACAAGCAACACAGGCAGCTTTTGCTTAGGCTTGTTGCTAATTCTAGATTTTTTGTAATCTATATTAATCTTAAAATATTATTATTATTTGTACTTTATTACTATTTGAATTTGAATAAATTGAAATTGAAATTGATAAGAACATTATATTATTTGTCTTGGTGTACCTTTATTTATGAAAAGCCTGAATTGAGATACACTACAAATTATTTGCAATAAATACCAAAAGAAGCATACATTTTTAAATAATTTGACATTTAAGAGCAATTCACAAATCACAGTTGACATCTTAATACTTAACAGGCACGGCCAAGCAATATTCTGCTTTTTACCAAATAAAATAGCCGGTTAATTATTCTATGAGGTTCCGACAGAGAGCTAGTAAATTTGATGAAGGTGTTTTTGTGGCTAGAGGCGAAATAGTAGGACGCTTAAGTTAGCACCACCATAAGAAAGTAATTTTTAAGAAACTGCTTATATATTTTTTATAAATTGGCAGGCTTGGCGACTAATTTCGAATAAAAATAGCCTTCAAAATGGCTATGATTGCAAGTATGAAGGTCGCAACCCGCCTTAGAAATTTCACCTTTATTATCAACAGCTGTTGTTTGACAGGTCGTTAAAGAATGTTTGCAATTTATGGAATGTTAAGAATGTTAGGAATGTTGAAGTTAGAAATAATTGGAATTCCTAAAATTAGTCATATAAGAAATACATAGGTGGATTTTAGGAAAATTGATATTAA